CTGAGTAGCTGGGATTACAGGCGCACACCACCACGCCCAGCTAATTTTTGTATTTTTAGTACAGACGGGGTTTCACCATGTTGGTCAGGCTGGTGTCGAACTCCTGACCTCATGATCTGCCTGCCTCGGCCTCCCAAAGTGCTGGGATTACAGACATGAGCCACTGCACCCAGCCTAAACTACTATGTTCCAATGTCTTTTTTACTATTGTATTGTTAAAGGGAAATTGCTGACCAATAGCTTTCCTATTCAAAAAACATTTACTGAGTTCCCACCATCTGAGTGATGCTGCTATCAAGCTGTGTAATATACAGTCCTTGCCCTGTAGATGCTTACAAAAGGGGAATAAGAATATGCAAAATAAGGCTGACAAAAGATGACCTACAGAATAAGAAAGTATTTGTAAATTATATATCTGATCAGGGTATAGCTTCCAGAATCTATAAATAACAATTACAACTCAACAACAAAAAAGCAATATCCCAATTTAAAAATGGGCAAAAAACTTGAAGAGACATTTCTCCAAAGAAGATATACAAATGGTCAATAAACATTTGAAAACATGCCCAAATCAAAACTATAAGATACCACTCCACACCAGGTAGCATGGCTACTATAATAATAATAATAGCAATAGGAAAGTGTTGGCAAGAATGTGGACAAATTGGAACCCTTGAAAACTGCTGGTGAAACTATAAAATGGTGCAGCCACTGCAGACAAGTTTGGCAGTTCCTTAATAAGTTTAACATAGAATTACCATATGACCTAGCAATTCTACCTCTAGGTATATGTCCCAAAAACGGAAAACAGAAATTCAAACAAGTAATTATATATGAATGTTCATAGCAGCCCTATTATCCAAAAGGTGAAAATAACACAAACGTTTATCAACAGATAAGTGAGTAAACAAAACGTTGTATATTCATACAATGAAATTATTCAGCTATTAAAAAGGAATGAAGTACTGATACAGTGCTACAACATGGATGAACTTTGCAAATAAGCTAAGTGACAGAAGCCAGACACAAAAGGTCACCTACTGTATGATTCCATTTATATGAAATATTCAGAACAAAACAGGTCAATCCACAGAAAGAGAAAGGAGATTAGTACTTGCCACAGGCTAGGGGAGGGGGCAATGGTGGGGAAGTGACTGTTTAGTAGGTATTGGGTCTTCTTTGGGGGTGGATAAAAATGTTTTGAAACTAGATAGAAGTAACAGTTGCACAACACTGTAAATGCACTAAATGCCACTGAATTGTACACATTAAAATGGTTAGTTTCATGTTATGTGAATTTTACCTCAACAAAAAATATGGCTAAATATCATAATCACAACAAGAATTAAAATCAAACTATTAGGAGGTTCAATGAAGGAAGGTTTTTAGGAGGAAGATTTTTAGGAGGAAGGGCATGAAGAGAAAGGGCTCAAGAAAGGAGTCTGAGGCACAGAGAGTCACAATTATCATATATTTCATTTGCTGCCTTACAAAAAGCTGGATAGAGAGAATACAACTGGTAATTACAAGACAGTGTGGTAATACAGAACTGTGATTGAGACATAAAGAGGGCCAAGACTGGGAAGACCACGTAATTTACTTTCCATCTAGAACACTCTTCAGAATGAAAGGGACTTCATTAGTAATTATACCAGACAACAGGTGTACCACCTGGACTATCCCAGGCAAACTGGGACATATGATCATGGTAGTTAAGAGAGTACTTTGGGGGAGCACCTTACATAGAAATATTATTCAGCTATCAAAAAGAATGAAGTAAAAGAAATGGGGTTCAGAAAAAGTTCCTGGAGGAGCAAAGATCTGAGTAAGAAATTGGAGTTAGTCAAGTGAAGAAATATTCCAAGTCAATAGGACATTACATACAAGGCCAGGAGGGAAAGGGCATGACCTTGTGAGAAACTGTAAGTATGCACAGTTCCGCATAGAGCAGAGAAAGCATACGTCTGTGGGGACAGGGGTTGAGGAGACAGATAAAGCGGAAGGGCTGGCAGGAGGCAGATCTGGAGGGTACCATATGTTGCATTAGTGTTTGAATTTTATCCTAAGGATAACAGAAGCCACTGCAGGAGTAAGGATGTGCCCCGAACAGATTCACACATGTAAAAGACCACACTGGATGAATGTGGAGAACAGAGGGAATCGGGCAAGGGCTACAGATAGGGAGGATAATTAGCAAGCTCCGGCCCAAACCAAGACAGTGGCATTAGAGATAAAGGGAAATGAGCAAGGAGAAAGCAATTTTGAGTGATGTGTTCCCATGAGATATCCAAGTAGACTACCCAGCTGGCCAGTATCCGTATGAGTCTGAAGCTCCTTTATTTATTCAACATGGTTTTAAGGAGAGTAATAAATGCTGGTGATAGAGTTGTGTGCATTCAGACCACATGCCTATTTTCATGAAACTTACAATCTAATGGTGGGGATGGGAGAAGAGTAATAGGTAAGTGACATAAACGTGTAAACAATAACATATAAGACAGGGATGAGTGCTATAAGGAGAATTAAAATAATGTAAAGAGAGTGACTGGGCAACTCTAAATGGGATCAAGAAATGCTACTGAATATTTAAAATGAATTTAAACTGAGAGATGTGTGACAAAAAGAATCTAATCATGGCCAGGCGTGGTGGCTCACACCTGTAATCCCAGCACTTCGGGAGGCAGAGGTGGGCAGAGAGCTTGAGCTCAGGAGTTCGAGACCAGCATGAGCAACATGGAGAAACCCCATTTCTACAAAAAAACAAACAACAACAAAAAAAAAACTTTATAATAGCTTCTGTCCAAACCTGCAGATGCAACCAACTCAAGTATCAGTCATAAATTGTTTTGGACACACAAACAACTATAGTTCAACCTACTCCATCTTCTGTACTTTTAGATTAGGGAAATGGCTATAAAGCAATAAGCATGTAGATTCTGGTGCCTCGGCCACCTGAGTAGCTAGGATTACAGGCATGCACCACCATGCGCCACTAATTTTTGTGTATTTGGTTTTGCCATGTTGGCCAGGCCAGTCTCAAACTCCTGGCCTTGATCAAGTGATCCGCCTGCCTCAGCCTCCCAAAGTGCTGAGATTACAGGCATGAGCCACCACGCCCAGCCCAGAACTGTTAGTTAGCAGTCATTTATGTGTTCTTTATGTGCTAGGCACTGTGCTGACTGTTAATAAATGAAATTAAAAGGGAGCTGTTCACAATGACCTCTCAAAATGGAAACAATCTTTCCAGAATCCAATACCTTCCTTTCACAAAGAATACACTGGTGACAAAAATAATACCTACCCAAGTCTTGTTTATTACTGCATTGACAAGTTTTCTATGTTAGGCATAAACAAGCCAATACAGTTAATTATTATTATTATTATGGTTACAGTTTATTATTATTATTATTTGAGATACAGTCTCACTCTGTTACCCAAGCTGGAATGCAAAGGTGTGATCTCCACTCACTGCAACCTCCACCTCCCAGATTCAAGAGATTCTCCTGCCTCAGCCTCCTGAGTAGGTGGGACTACAGGTGCCTGCGAGCAGGCCCGGCTAATTTTTGTATTTTTAATAGAGACGGGGTTTCCTCATGTTGCCCAGGCTGGTCTGGAACTCCGAACTTCAAGTGATCCACCCACCTCGGCCTCCCAAAGTGGCGGGATTACAGGTGTGTGCCACCGCACCCGGCCCAGTTAATTATTTTACAGGTAATTTTCTAAGCAAGATGACAAGGTGGTTTGGAAAATTCTGTCCTTACAAAGAAATTTATAGCCCTCTTCAATCTAAGACCGTCCGGAAGTCTATTTAACGGTCGTATCTCCTCTTTTATGGACAAATACCTCCTGGGGCAGTTCATCCACACAGGCCATAGTTCCCACGGCCTATGACATTTTCTGTCTTCTAAGGATCTTTCATCTACCACTCCAGTCCTTACCTGATTGCCCAGCACGGCGGTGGCACAAGCTGTGGACACCTCTTTGGGCCCAAACCACACTGAGGCGATGCGGGAGGGCAAGCCCAGGATGAACACCTGGGCCACGGAGCACAGGCACTGGCCCAACATGGTGACCCAGAAGAGATGCTGCTGCACACTGCCGCACTTGATCCAGGCACCCAGGCAGTTGAGGCCGGAGCCCAGCAGGGCGGTGAGCCGCAGGCCTCTGGTGTCCAGCAGCCAGGTGGCCGGGAAGATGAGGGGCACGTAGGCCACCATGTACACCATGGACAGCCAGTCGATGCACAGCAAGGTGACACCGTAGAAGCCCCCGAAGACGTTGCTGATGATGCTGTACTGGATCCACTGAAAGGCGTTTACCAGCGAGTACAGGCTGAAGATCAGGAGCACCACGAAGCGCCGCGGGGAGAGCGCCGTCCGGGGCAGCGGGGTGCTCTCGGCCCCCGGGGTCTCCGCTCCCGCGCCCGCAGGCAGCAGCCGGGCCTGGGTCTCCTCTTCTGCAGCCAGCGGAGTCTGAGGCCCGCCCAGAACTCCCGAGGCGGCAGCGAGGCTGTCCCGGGGGGCCCCGTTCACCGGGAAGGTGCCCGCTTTGGGCCCGTTCTGCGGCTCCACGCTCTCCTTCCCAGCGGGCGCGCCCCTCGGCAACGGGAGGTATCCTTTCGCCAGCGGGTGTCCGGGCGCCACCGCCGCCCCCTCCTCATCGTCTGGCCGCGCCATATCCCTGGCTCCCGGGCGCCACCTCGCTCCCCCGCCCCACTCCCCGACTCCGCTCCCCGGGTCCACAGCCCGAGGTCCTCCTGGGACCCCACCTCCACCCCCTCGGCCCACCGCTCCTTCCCCGGTGGCGCGCGCCACGAACCGCAATCCGCGCTGCAGTGTGAACAGGTGAAGGCGTCCTCCCAGGCGCCGCGCGGCAGTCACCCCTCGTCTGGTCCCGCCCCTAGAGTCGCGCGTCCCGCATGACGACGGCCCTCCGGCCAGTCAGCGCGCACCTTTGCCCGGCGCGAGAGCCAATCGGGGAGCTGCCGGGCGCGAACTGAGGGAGGCAGGGGAGGAAAGCGGGCTGGAAGCACTTGCTGACGTTTTCCTGCCCGGAAGAATGCATGGCCCGGGGTCCTTTGCACCTGAGGGTGGGCGGGAGGCGGCCCCGCGGGTTGCGTTGCTGGAAGAAGGGGTCTCGATCCAGACCCCAAGAGAGGGTTCTTGGGTCTACCGCAGGGAAGAATTGGAGGCGAGTCACAAAGCGCAGTAAAGGAAGCAAGTTTATTGGAATCTACTCCGTTACAGAGTCGCAAGTCCTCAGACTGTAGGAGGAGGAACTCCCGTCCTTCCGTGGTGTCACTACTTAGAGGCAACTGTGAGGAGCTGTGATTAAACGTGGAATGTGCTGATGTGCCCACTAAAGGTAGGGGCTGTTGGTGCACTAATGACCATTAATCCTTCAACCTAAGCCTGCGCATTGACGTTATCTCTGAGTAGAGGGCTGGGCCGGGCTCAGTGGCCACTTCTGTAATCCCAGCACTGTGAGAGGCCGGACAGGAGGCTCCCTTGAGCCCAGGAGTTCGACACCAGCCTGGGCAACATACTGAGATGCCATCTATTTGGGAAAAAAAAAAAAAGCAAGCAGCCAGGCGTGGTGATGGATGCCTGTAGTCCCAGCTACTCGGGAGGCTGTGGCAGGAGAATTACTTGAACCTGGGAGGCGGAGGTTGCAGTGAGCTGAGATAGCAACACACTGCCCTCCAGCCTGGGTGACAGAGTGAGACCTTGTCAAAAAAAAAAAAAAAATTAGGACATCTGGATATTCCATAGACTTGGTGGGAGAAGTCCTGTATGGTCATAAATATTGTGTAATTATAACTGCTGCTCAGCTTAGAATGCGGCTCTTTTCAGACCTTTAGCATTAACCTTATAGGTGCCCTGTGAGTGCCTAGTTACTCACTTTAATATGCAGTCGCTCTGGCTGTGTTTTATTAAACCAGATACCTGGTAAGCAGTGGCTTCTCTAACAAGTGGGCAGCTTGGAACTGGGAACGAGAGAGCCACCGAAACAGAATGAGGGAGACAAAGAAGTGGGCATCACCCTCAGCTCCACAAGGGCTTCCCAAGCTGTACCGTACGCAGGCCCGGGACGAACTTTATTCTTGCTCCAGCATCGTTGTCCGTCTCAGTGAGACCCTGGCTTTAGGGCAGACAGGACCACGTTTCATAAATTCATACTGTCCCAGCAGAGGAATAACGCCAGAAAGCGTTCCAGTACAACCAGAGAAAGAGAATCCATGAGAAATCTGCCCTTGTGAAGTTGGAATCCCCTCAACCTCACCCCGCTGACTTGAATGAAGCGACTGAGATGGGCTGTGATGGAGCAGATCTGGTTGCTCGACCTCCTCCCTTGGACCAACACATATAGTTAATAGTTATTGGACATGCACATTCAGTGGGTCCAGTGGGTTCCAGGTACCAAACTTGTGTTGAATGGTATGTGCCAGACACTGTCTTGCGATCTGGGGAATAAAATAATAAAAACGAGATATCCGGAGCACAGTAGCCTTGCGGTCTTCCTGGACTAGAGAAAATTCAGCCCTTCTGCTTCTTGGGAAGCTTTGTTCGGGGAAAAAAAAAAAAAAAGAAAGAAAGAAAGAAAGAGACCCCAAAGAATTTGTTATTAAATTGAAGTTGAAACTAGGTGTATATAGTACAAGAGTTCTTACCATACATTTAATAATTACCATACATTTAAGTGCTGATATCTAGAACCCTAAAACCCTGCACTTTTTTATTGCCTCTTATATTATTATTTTGGTCATGTATGAAATATTTCAGGCATCTCTCGGTACAGGTGAAATGCTACATGTTCTAAACTAAGGACTAAGTGCATTATAATGTCTTCCTTGGCCAAACTGTATAAATTGCCACCCCCGACCCCCTGCCCCGCCAACATCCCTTCCCTGCTGTTTTTCTTTCTTTCCTAGTGCTTACCTTCACCTAAAATGTCCTATAATTTTGCTTATTTTTTTTCTAGTTTCCTTCCTTCCTTCCTTCCTTCCTTCCTTCCTTCCTTCCTTCCTTCCTTCCTTCCTTCCTTCCTTCCTTCCCTCCCTCCCTCCCTCCCTCCTTCCTTCCTTCTTTCCTTCCTTCCTTCCTTCCTTCCTTTCTTCCCTTTCTTCCCTTTCTTTCTTTCATCTTGCTCTGTCACCCAGGCTGAAGTACAGTGGTGTGATCTCGACTCATTGCAACCTCCGCTCACTGCAACCTCCGCCTCCCAGGTTCAAGTGATTCTTCTGCCTCAGCCTCCTGAGTAGCTGAAATTAAAGGGCTGCACCATCATGCCTGTCTAATTTTTGTATTTTTTTTTTTTAGTAGAGATGGGGTTTCACCATATTGGCCAGTCTGGTCTCGAACTCCTGACCTCATGATCCACCCACCTTGGCCTCCCAAAGTGCTGGGATTACAGGCCTGAGCCACCATACCCAGCCTCTTTCTCTCTTTCTCTCTCTCTCTCTGTCTCTCTTTCCTCTCGGCTGACCACCAAGCCTGAGTGCTTTTTGTATTTTTTGTAGAGATGGGGTTTTGCCACATTGCTCAGATTGGTCTCAAGTGATCAACTCACTTTGGCCTCCCAAAGTGCTAGGATTACAGGCATGAGCCATTGTGCTGGTCCTTTTTCCGGTTATTTTCTCCCTGCCCACTAGAATGTGAGTTCCGTAAGGGCAGGGCTGAAAGTTTTGTTGCTTTTTGCTACCACTACTATTTTTCAAGAATTTGTAACCAGTGTACTTTGTGTACCTAGCACATAGTAGGTGTTCAATAAATATTTACTGAGTACAGCTAATGAGCACTGAATTACCGTGAATATTTTAAATAATTGCTTGCTTTGTAAAGGAATGTATTTCTTCTCTCCTCCCAACTGCTGCTGCATCGCCATCATGGACACCAGCCACGTGCAGCCTGTCTAGCTGGCCAGGGTCACCACGGTCCTGGGCAGAACCAGCTCTCAGGGACAGTACACGCAGGAATTTGTGGACGACACAAGCCACTCCATCATCCGCAGTGTAAAAGGCTCCGTGTGTAAGGGCTGTGTGCTCACCCTGTTGGAGTCAGAGCAAGAGGCGTGGAGGTTGCACTGAGCTTGGCTGCTCACTGGGTCTTTAATATTGGGTTCGACCACTTGGTCTGTGCCATGACCTGCTCCTTTATTTTATTTTTTGCCGGCCACAGAGGAATTGAGATATGCATTTAAATAAAGTGTTTGTGTTCCAAATTAGAAAGAAAAGAGAAAGAAAGAAAGAAAGAGAGAGGGAGGGAGGGAGGGAGGGAGGGAGGGAGGAAGGAAGGATAAAGGAGGGAGGAGAGAAGGAAGGAAATCTTTTTTTTTTATTCTTATTTTTTATTTATTTATTTTTTTGAGACAGAGTTTCGCTCTTGTCGCCCAGGCTGGAGTGCAGTGACACGATCTCGGCTCACTGCAACCTCTGTCTCCTGGGTTCAAGCGATTCTCCCTCCTTAGCCTCCCAAGTAGCTGGGATTACAGATGCCCACCACCATGTGCAATCTGTTTCTTAAAAAAAAAAAAAAATCTTGCCTGGGCACGGTGGCTCACACCTGTAATCCCAGCACTTTGGGAGGCTGAGGCAGGTGGATCACGAGGTCAGGAGATCGAGACCATCCTAGCTAACATGGTGAAGCGCCATCTCTACTAAAAATACAAAAAATTAGCCAGGTGTGGTGGTGGGCGCCTGTAATCCCAGCTATTTGGGAAGCTGAGGCAGAAGAGTGACTTGAACCCGGGAGGCAGAGCTTGCAGTGAGCTAAGATCGCACCACTGCACTCCAGCCTGGGTGACAGAGCAAGACTCCGTCTCAAAAAAAAAAAAAAAAAAAAAAAAGTCTTGCAAACTTCCAGAAGGAAGGGAAGGAGGGAGGGAAAAATCTTTCTTTCTCTTTTTCTTTCTTTCTTTTTTTTTTGACAGAGTTTTGCTCTTGGAGTCCAGGCTGGAGTGCAATGGTGAAATCTCAGCTCACTGCAACCTCTGCCTCCAGGGTTCAAGTGATTCTCCTGCCTCAGCCTCCCAAGTAGCTGGGATTACAGGTGCCTGCCACCACACCCGGCTAATTTTTGTATTTTTAGTAGAGACAGGGTTTCTCCATGCTGGTCAGGCTGGTCTCAAACTCCCAACCTCAGGTGATCCACCTGCCTCAGCCTCCCAAAGTGCTGGGGTTACAGGCATGAGCCACCGTGCCCGGCCGCCATTCTAATTTCTTAATCTTGTCTTGTTTCTCTGGCTTCAGTGGTAGATACTTATTAACCAGTTTAAACATGAGTCATAATTTATATCAAATGTTTGGATGTATAACATAGAATGAACCTTAATCTCTGTCAAAAAAGATACTGCTGGGAGCATCATTTGGCTAGGAGTCAAGATGAGATTGAGCTACTTTATGGGTGTGGAATGCCAAGTCAGAGAGATCTGAATAAGTAAGACTTCAGCAATATGAGACCTGGACAGCATCCAGGAGCCAAGGTCCAAGATGCTAATAGGAGTGATGTAGCTGTCCCTAACAAAGGTTTCCCACGGTTTACGAGCCTCAGAGGTTAAGATGCAAACCAGAACAATGCTATTGGATATGCAATCCGTAATGTTTCATGGGGAGGTGGGTAGATTTGGGCAGCCTGGCCTTCCGTTTACTCCTGCTAGCACCAGACTTGGTCCTCCTGAGCAGCAGACGCTATATGTTTCTATTCTGTGAAAAGACCAAGTTGGAAATGGAGGAGTAGAGGGGAAGGCTGGAAATCAGAATTCTCCCACATGTATTCTTCCCTCCATTGAGACATTTTATTTGTATGTATTTATTTATTCCTAAAAAAAAAAAAAAAAAGTCCCAGGATTTTTTCTCCTATGTTTTTGTCTTGTTTCTTCTCAGTCCATGATGCCAGTTGAGGTCATCAGTACAGCAAAACCAAACTGGTGAGATGGCAACAAATTATTCTGTCACTTTTCTAATCTTTTTTTTTTTTTTTGAGATAGAGTCTCACTCTTGTCACCCAGTCTGGAGTGCAATGGCGAGGTCTTGGCTCACTGCAACCTTCGTCTCCTGGGTTCAAGAGATTCTCCTGCCTCAGACTCCCGAGTAGCTGGGATTATGGTGCCCACACCATGCTCAGCTAATTTTTGTATTTTTAGTAGAGATGGGGTTTCACCGTGTTGGCCAGGCTGGTCTCGAACTCCTGACTTCGAGTGATCTACAGGCCTCGGCCTCCCAAAGTGCTGAGATTACAAGTGTGAGCCACTGCACCCGGCCCAGTTTTCTAGATCTTTGAATTGCACATCAAATCTGAAGCTGATCGCTCCACACTTGTTTAACCTGCCTATGAGGTTCACAACAATTTTCCCAGCTCTGGGATCAT